GTATAGATATGTAGACTTCAGCATGTATACCGTCACAGGTTTACGTTTGATGTCACAGCCTTTGGCGTGGTAGCCGTTGGTCTACTCACACTTGTCATAAAGTGTGCACTAGTAGAAGCACATATATCGTTCCAGCAGCCATTGGGCGTGTGCTTGTACATGTCGTAGCTGAATCTAGTGTTGAAACACTTACCATCCTCCATACCCATTCGTCTATCGGCTAGGATATAAGCTTCTCACGCTTGAGGGCGGGGTTCGATTCCCCGATGGGTAATAGTTTTTAATATTGTTTCACGCGAGAGTTTTTAGAATATACGGGTAAACTTTATGATTTCGCATACTCAGATTGTGACAATCTTGAGCTGCTTATTAATCGGTAATATTCGCTATCTGTAAAGTGGGTATAGATAGCAGACTGTTTTGCCTATCTGCCAATATCTTTCACTCGTATTTCCGTCAGATTTACTTTGCACGCACATACCCGTCCTGAGTGCGTTGATATGAATGTAATGGGTGAGAATGAACACATTGTGAAGTTTTGTGAGAAATGAGACAATAAATGTAGCCAGAAAGTGATATCTGATGCTACGCAATACCTGTATTGAAATTGTAAGAGTACATGTCACAGCAGCATATTTTGGCGCCCTATGACGATAGTGAAGGTATATTTTAACATTGACCCATAGCCTTCTGAATTATATATTGACCCGCTAGTTTTATTATTTGATATGATTATATAATACAAATAATATATATATACTTTAATTTATGCAATGCAAGTCCAACTGGTGTAGTGGTAACATAGATGATTTCCATTCATCTGCCATGGGTTCGATTCCCGTGTTGGAGAGGTTTTTTCCAAGTAAATTTCTTCAATTTTTTGTGCATGACCGTGTTATGTGTGGCTTAGTGGTCAGTATATTAATCTTGTACACTAATTTTATGTTCGCCAGTTTGCTATAGCAATACAGCATACGCTCGGGCCAAGTCAACGGTATCATATCAAACTGAAGTGTCAACGGCACAATGGGTGATAAGTCAGACACCGCTGACCACTTATACGAAGTGGCGGAAGGGGTAGGCCGTTTGGAAGATGACAAAAGTATTAACATGGACCTCACAGTCGCCCTCACACATTTACTTTTAGACCGTCTGGCGACTACAACGCAACCGAGCCAACGGCCGTGTAGAACTGAAACCAGCGATATAGATGTATCGAATATAGGCAGTCAGAGTGCTTCAGTTGTGACTATGAAAGACAGGAGAGGGTATACCTTAGAAGAGGGAAACGTGCATGGTCAAGATATGGATGCGTTAGCAGATTCCGGTGTAAGACAGGAACAGGAGTCAAATTACATGTTGAACGGTAGTAAACAACCAGCGATCACCGTGAAAACCGGATCAAGTGCTAGTCGGTCGCACAACGCAGTCGGCGATGCGATAATGATAGACAATAAGATGCATTGCATGAATCAGCAAATTGTCGGGAGCGATAGGAGCAGTGATTGCGACGATACATTAGATCGCAGCACTACAGGTACAGGAGTCCATATTAATGATACGACTAGAGCATACAAGAAAAGAAATCTGGATGCCAGTGACAAGGCTGAGCCGTTAGAAACCACAAGTTCTAAACAAGATGCGCAGTATGAATCAGTGGAGGAACAGAAAGATGCTGTTGGTGACAACAAAATATCACTATCATCGATAGAAACGCTCACACAAGCGGGCTGGCCGATATCAGATAGTATACAGAAGGATAATGAGATTTTCACAATCATAAGCAGCGACAGTACGCCCCATAGCCAAAGCGCTAATATTACTGAATTCGGCCTTGAGCAGGGACAGACACTTGGTAAGAACTTGCCGAATGTTGACAATAGTGCCATTCCCGAGAATACATCTACTTCAAATGTAGTGTTCGAAGAAGGATCTTATGATATGCACCCGGTTCCAATAGAGATAATACTGCGCGACAGAACAAGTGTGTTAGCTGAAGATGGTCTATTTCTGCAGACCCTTTGGGATGATACGCTAGATGCCATTGCGCTGGACTTCGAGGCCCGGGAGGATATACCAGCAGTCGCTCCCAGCCCTATAAACCCTGGCGAGCTCGTTGACAGCAAACATGATCATTACGATGCACGCGTGGCTCAATGCGTATCCGATCTCCTCACATGGTCACGTGCGTATTCGGCCTTGTTGTCCAGCATCTTACGAATCACATCGGAGGCGCAGATATCACACACGGATTTAACTACAGAAATTAGCAGTATTGGTGATCTCGAAGGGGACCATAGCGAGCACACAAACATCGCATTGCCACAGACAAAATCAGACACAACTGTGTCAGATATGTACACTTGTGATGAGAGTAATTCTGATTACACACAAGAGGTCGAGACTAGCACATCACTGTCCTCACATGTAACAGAGAACCTTGTACAGAACTCACGGGCACGAACCCAGAGTGGACATGCTGAACCACCACAAAGTACACGTACATCGCTTAATGCGAATCAGATGCCAGCACAAGCCCTGCCATCTACTGGGTTGCGATGGAAGGAACTTGCAGGCAAACTCGTCTGTGCTACATTTAGGTCTATTCGACATATGCTGCTGGAGTATCGCTCGCTGTGTATGCAGATTACGAAGAGATATGCCGAGTGTGCGCTGATCGATCTACCCACCAACATCAATGATTTGGATTGGGAAACTTTGGGAGTGTTAGATGTGTGCACAGTGACTGATGTTCCCCAAACACACACAGCACACACAAACACACCGGCAAGTGGGAATGCCGGTAACATATATTCACAACTTCCGGAATCCGATGACTATGTCAGGGATTGCATGAGATCAGCGATGCAGATGTACGAGCTGGTGAAGTCTCACTGCGTCCGTAGAGTGGGGGTGCTGTTAGTGAACGAATACACTAACCTACTCTCCGTGTCTGAGGATACTATAAACCGAGAAAGTACGGATGATATACCTGCAGATCAGAAAACAAAAGATAGCTCGTCTCCGAAGCGTTGGGTCGAGTGGATCGAGGGACTGACTAAGCGTATACGCATGGATGTACAAACTCTAAGAGAGTATGTCTACCGCTACAATTCATTTGGAGCTTATGGTAGGAGTATTGGGAAGGTGAACTATAAAGAACACGAGTCGCTCGCAGATACTAATGACAAAGGTAGACGATCGACTTTTACTTTCAGTATATTTTGTGAGATGTGTACCTGTATCGCGCGTTTGGAACAGCCTCCTCCCCCCCAATATTATAATTCTTTCGCTAGACCTGAGAATCTATCGTATTCCGATACATTTCTACCGTGTGATATGGTTCAAGCCCGAAAGGACTGTTTTATTATTAGTGTATAGGCATCAGACGGACACTGTAGCCATAGATTCCGCACAATATTTGTATCACGAGTGGCTCCCTACTGGCAACTGTTATACTCTCACGTGTGTTCGCTGCCATCGACCTATCCGTATGCTGGATGTGGACCACCTTCTGAACTTCTATTGACTGATATGTTGCTCTCGCGCTTGGCTGCGTTGCAATGAAACTCCGGGGGTATCCTTCTCAGATAAAACCTCGCCTCCTGTTTCTAGTGACCCAATACGAGATGATACATCATAGACGCTCGAGCATCAGTAATTGCCTTTACATACATCTGTCGGGAGAGGACATCGGTCACGCCCTAGTATTGTATAGACTGAGTTTGTCCACAACAGCAAGACAGCCATAATAAGACTCAAACGATGTATTCACTTACATCACTTTCTGTAGGTTTGATATCCTCAACACCGATGGACCTCGCCCTGTCGCGACTGGCCGTGTCTGCTGAAGACTTGGTGTTAAGCACACGAGGATTCTTCGCGCGTGCCTTGCACTACCAGGAGGGGGTGAGCAAAGCCACCGCACTCTGGCACAACGAGGGCTCGCAAGGAACAGTTAGGGCCAGGGATGCTACACATAGGCCAGAACATACCGAGTCGGGCTTGAATGGGTCTGTGATACGGACAACGAGTGGAGCTGACAGTTCGCGCGCTGGCGCTTTCGACGGAGGAGTGAACTGTACCGATACCGCAGCCGAGGAAAGCGAAGAATCACATCCCGTTGTATCTGGCCAGAATGTGCAGGCATCTGCGACAGAAGCCGACAAAACAACTGATGATACACTGGCGTTGCTACAGGCGTCTATGACTGATGTGGATGTGATGTGTACGGACGTGCATGGCCTGCTCAAAGCACTGCACAAACACAGAGAACTATTGGAGAGAAGCGCAGCCAATCTGATCCCTGCCGGGTCCGTCCAGGAAAATGAAGCGGACGATACCGGCGAAGGGGATACGATGCTTTGTGAGGACGCCGCTTTTGAAAGTAAATTGTATGCACGTAAATGCAAGTACAGTATGCACGTCAAGATTTTGGGGGCGACCGAAGGCTGGCTGCATTATGCATACAGGAGTTGTCATGCTAGCACGAGTGTTGCAAATGCGTACCTAACTGCTCATATCTACAGCAGTGCAGGATATTCATATTAGGATACTGTACTGACATAGTTTTTCAAGTCGTCTTTCAGACTTTAAAGGTCTGACAACAGCTTCTTTTCTGCACAATCACAAATGCTATGCTTCAATATCAGCGTTTCTTGTAGACTCGGTCACGAATCAACATTTGTGCACCTACTCGTGGACACGCTTGCAGCCTATTAGCTAATATCATCAGATGAGAAACTCATTTCTCTCTATGTTGATCCCTGAACGTACACAGGTAAGCAAGGTCAGCTGGTCTCGCGAGGAATGGAAGTGGGCGAGTTCGATGTCATTGGCGATGACGAATACTTGTCGGATGAAGACGAGGATATGAGGGCAATGAAGCTAATGTCAAGGTAAGATTGCGTCTAGGGATACAGTGCGCACGCATGCTAACAGTGCCTACGTTTGAGAAAGCACTGTTGTGTGTGTTTGTGTATGTCTACACACACTTGTATATTCACAGTATACTTAATAGTAGCTTTTGAGCAGAGCATACTACGGATGTATAGTGCTCGGAGTGAGATATAGTGGCTCCCGAATTGCAAAAGCAAGTGGGCTTGGACCACCACCTTCAAATGTCGTACTTCGACGTAGTGAACCCCATTGGTGTCTGAAGGTTCAATGTATAGGGCTGCAGATAACCTTCTAGTAGACTAATCACTACAGAGTCTGTCAGAAATCGTATAGTATAACCACGTTTCATATTCAGGTGTTTTGCCAATTTCTTACTTTACTCAGGGATGAGAGAATACAACACATGGCAGCTAAGAAGAAACGAGAAGCACAGGCCCGGTTGGACGCATCAGCCCCACTACTAGTGATGTCTGAACTGCGAAGTGTATTAAAAGACAGATCCAAATAGGTGCATGCCTCACAGAATATATACAGTTTTGATTATGTCTACTCAACTTTATCACTTGTTTGCTTTTTCGGCGAGGCTTTTACTGCTATTAGATCGCACAAGTGCGTCTTAGAAGGGTGGTACCACAATCCTCCGATCTACCTTGTATTAATCTCACGCAGTGAAAGAATAAACCTTCAAGCATAATTGGAAAAGTGATGACTCTCCGAAGAAAGTATCATTAAACAGAAGCCCTAGCTGTCGCAATTGATCCGGTAGCATGTCACACATTTAACCTCGAAATTCGACCTCCATTGCCCACGCCATAGCAGTACAGGTTCATTGGGCGCGAAAGGCCGCAAATTGTTCTCCTGTGTAATGCACAGAAGAATATTCATGCCGCCTGTATCGGTCCTTATATGTTCATCCCGCGACAGCGACTTACAGACTGAGTTCACAGGTGCTATTTCTAGTACAGACTTTATCAGACACATTGAACCATGTGTCTGCGCTATCGATACTTTGAATGTTTTTTTCTCAGGGGTGAGTGCGCGTACACATTACTCCGCCGAGCCGTTAGTTGGTACTCTGCCACACCCAGGCCACTCATCCAAGCATAGCCTCGAGGCTATAGTTACCTGAGGTACTCCATAGGTATCCTATGAATGAGAGCGTCAACATATGTCCAAGAACGCACCTCCATGCTATTATATTGTGTGTTTGGCTGATATAATCATCTATGCCACACTGTGACGGCATATGTCCCTTCACCAAGTCTAGATCCCGCTTCTTCGGTACTAACGGGGCGAGTGGCTGGTGTCTTCTTCAGCGGTCTCCAACTACAGAACGACTCGCTGGAGTTACCTACACCCAATTTTACTAGTATGGGCAGCTGTTCGCCCATGTTCGACATGAAACCTAGTACCCTTCTGTCTGATGCCAGCTGCGCGTGTGATAGGTTGTATGTGTATCTCTGCTGATCCCAGCATATGACATGGTGGCGTGATGGAATGTATCACAGTGTATGTGATATGCGCTTAATGCACGTATCGACTGTGTGTGGTTGCACAGCAGGTCACCAGCCAACTGTCTACACTACCTCCCACCTGTACCAGTATGCGGGCAGTAAGAAGCAACTTATTGACGAGTTTATAAAATATGACCATACACATATGTATATGTAAATAGGGGGGTGTCGCTGCACTAACTAAAACAGCTGAGTCTGTTTCAATCAGTTAAGAACGTCTCTATTTGGATTATGCGAAATTTCATAGTGAACGTTTTTACGACAGTAGTCAAGATTCTCCATCAGCACCGATACCAGAAAACACATGCACTTCCACAAGTGATATACAAGTGACAGTATGATACGCAGAGAATAGCGTCTCGAAAAATGTAAACACAATGTCAAAAGGTAACGATTCAAAAGGGGTGTGATATGGCGAAAAATGACAAAAACAGACACTCGATAGTTGCAACAGTGCGACTATGTACTGATACATAAGTCGAGTACGGCGGTACGTGACGAAACTCAATCCATCTCCATCTGTTGTAAACGATATTGCGACGCCTTGGTGATTGAGGTTCTTGACTTTGACATACACACAATATATCGAACAACAAAAATATACAGCTCGCTTTCCTCAGAAAATCAGAGCCAACAACACAGCCACTATACAGAGCTGACGAGTTGAATCAAGTGCGGTCTTTAAATGATGACGAGGCAAATACGTTCGACAAGTTCAGACAAGTTCATATCCAGCACTCCCTGAAAAGACGGCATCTTTCTGCACACATACAAGTTAGTGCCATACTGATCGACAGGGAATGAGACAAACAGATAACAGAAACTCTACTCTCTTCGAGAGTAACATACCCAGACACCAGATCCGAACCCGAGGCGTCCAAGGGGACGCTTCGGGAGAGATAGTCCTCCAGTAGTTGCAGTACGGTTCGGTAGTTCTGCACACAAAGCGGTCGCACCCATATGAGAGGTAATTAATACACAATGCAAATATCATAGATCAATTATAGAAACCTCATTATAGGTCTTTGACGGACACCCTTTGGGTTGAGCATACGGCAGTATCCTGCACACGGGAAGTCCGGCTGACATTGATACTAATTCCAGCTCTGTAAAATGTGCCTAAGAACGGGTTGGGTATAGACCGCACGACAAGTCAGACAGACTATTTTCACACGGAGCACTCACAGAGAGACGAATAGCCCCAACGTATGTTGCGTATATTGACATACGATTCATCCTCTGAATATTTCATCTGTCTGCACATAGTTGCACGGTGCGTCAAATACACAAATATCAATAAACTATTGAATCGGAGTTCACAAGGTCAATCACATGGATGCTATGCTTGAAAATATACAAGTCTTTCCGTAGGTTTGGGAAGTCTTTACCTTGTCGACCATATTCTCGATGATCCAACCACTTCCTACCACCATTGGTTCGAATCGGCATCTCCATGTGACTACACACCCTCTGTATATTCAGCATGCAACAGAATCAGTAATGATATATAAAAATTGTACTTAAAAGTCACGAGGGCTCCACTTCATTGTATTAACTACGGCGTTCTTTTCAATATTGATGATAATATAGACATAGACGTTCTTATATCTATTTGTGAAATAAAGAACGACAGGCCTAATTGCCTGCTAAGGTAATAATCATAGGCGACGAGCGCATTGGCACCACTAGAGTGTCTGCTATCGCACAGATGGGCTGTTCAATCTACAGCATAACAAACTTACTTGCCATTCGGCCCTTTATCGAAAAATACTTCATGGGTATGATCCGTCGTCCAGTACCCGCCTGAGGGATCGTTCGTGCATGGTATGATATAAGATGGTATGATACGAGATCAGCATCAAATAGTCTATCTCATCCACTTTCACGTAAGATACAGACCACGTGTATAATACAATACCACCTCACAATGTGGATCCCAATCAACCGCATTAAATGCCTCGCCATTCTCCACATACAATACAGGCACTCATCCCAAGACCCAGCCCACCGTTATACCCACCTCCACGCACAACACTTACGCTCACTCGATGTATAGACGGTGGGGCAGTTCACGGCGCAAGGCAGACTCTCGCACTCACATTCCAGTACAAAGCAGGAGGTCTCTAGATATCTACTTTTTCGTGAAAGGCCCAGATTCAGTATGGAGATCAGTCCATCACGCATCAAATATCCCGTACAACTTGGGCCCTCAAACAGACCATCCTGCCACTCTACGTAGTCAGCTCAATCCACCATTAAATCCAATCTATTGCACCCAACTTGGTGTATTGTATATGGATCTCACCTCGAACATCTCACTGCTTAACGGTCGCTAGAATATCAGCCCATTTCACACAAATGCACGTATAATATTAGATCCTTGATGAATAGATCCAATTAGTACCTCACATTTAGACAGACAAATTTACCAGAAAAACCAATCCGATGCACGCACCTTTCGTATAATATAAGACCTTCACTCAGAACATTCTATTGCTCCACAATAGTCAACGCAAGTCACGGTATCAGACCGTCTCACCCACCTTCACGTACGATGTAAGCCAAGCGCTCAATGGGCTCAAACCCGACAACCTCTTCAACCGTTGTATCTCCACCGACCGAAGTGGTGACTTTTATGCATCCCACGCCATTGGGAGTCGGTGAGCCTGAACAACAGAGGGCAGACGTGATACCACATGACAAAACAGGCATGGGTTTGAATACACTCTTATTGAGACTGGGGTTAGCCTAAGGAGAAACGTCAGTACGGCTTGAAGCGTTTGCAATGGTTTGCTAACATGCAGTAGCTGAGATATCAAAGTACCGTAAAAAAAGTAACGGATTCTAAGGTGTTGGAAGATGCTCACAGCAAACCCAAACCTCATCAGAGCCAATCTGAGGGCCAACGTGTACTCTGCTTTATTCCATTGGTACAACATACCGGTTTGTTCGATCTTAATGACACCCTGATCAGCCCATTCGTTCCAGGAGGTGTGGTCCACAAACACCTCCCACACATTCTCAACAGGCACCTGGCAACGGAAACAGAAGGGTATAAGTATGCAATATGCGGTGCACAACGGTTCAGGATTGAAAGTGCATCGATAGGTCGAATAAAGCATTGGAATTCATAGATAAGTCATATATAAAATTTATGTGCGTGTCACCTCGACTCCGAGCTGTATCGCGGTAGATGGTCGTGAAGGTGGAAGAGGAAGCAATTATAAGCTAATATGAGCAAAATATGATGCGAATACATCGATTCTTATGTGGACATGTGAGTATCAGGCAGAACACGAAACCGGCAATCTCCCCTGGGCGGACATAAGGATCAATCGGCGCGTACGTATACATATTATACATATATATATATATATATATATATACATACATACACACATACATACATACATATACTCATATACACATATACACACACACTCAGACATACACACACACACACACACACACATATATATATATATCTATTTATATATCTATCTATATATCTATCTATATATCTATCTCTATATCTATCTATATCTCTATCTATATCTCTATCTATATATCTATCTATATATCTATCTATATATATATACATAGGGATTTTACATATACATATACATATACATACATACACACACACATATATATATATACACACACACACACACACACACACACACACACACACATATATATATATATATATATGTATATAGTAGTCTGTCACTCTACGACCACTCGACTAC